CTCTGCTGCAGTTCTCCATCAGGTCCACCACTGCTGATTGACAGCAGCAGAGGGTGGGTACAATAGCTAGTTTGCTATTGGCTATTGCAAATTGAAATAGCCAAAGGAATCTAGCAATGCATTCCTATGGCCAAAAATGTTTTTCTATTCTGGCACGGCTCTGTGTCAGAATAAAGAAAAAAAAGAAAAAGCAGTGTTTCTCTCCTTGGCGGCCGGGAGCGGGAGACTCCCGGAGCACCCGGGAGAGTTTTTTTTTCTTCTTTTTTTTGACGGCAGCTGTCACTGCTAGCTCCGCAAAAGCGTTTACTATTTATTGTTTTCTACTTTTTAAACTATTTTTCTGTTCTGCTCGGTACCACAGAGGGAGCGAGCAGAACAGCCGCTATTCACTCACTGCTGTTTGGCATCTATAAGAATAGACCGAACAGCAGCGAGTAGCCTGCCGGAGGTTCGGCTTAGCCGATCCAGATGTTGGATCGGCTGAGTCGAACTCCTTCTGCACTTTGGGTCGGCCGAACATGCTGAGCATATTCGGCCGACCCGAAGCCACCAGATGTACGGCTGATTTCAGCTGATATACGGCTGAAATCAGCCGTACCAGCCTGAATTGAATAGCCGAACAGCGTTCGGCTAACTTTGCTTTAGGTCGGTCATTCACTCGGCTGCCTATGGAAGCTTAGTGAATAGACCCCATAGTGATGCTATGAACTTGCCTATGAATTTATGGCTGTGAACATCCACTAGTCATACTGCAATCACTTTATGTTAGCAATGCAACTGAATCAAGCAATGCTACCAATAATCAGATTAAATAATAAACACTCAGACTAAAACAGACTAATGTTTAAGTTACAGAGATTTCCCAGCATATCTAGACTTTTGTTATTGCCATTCTGTAATCATTTTTAACTGATCTATATGACTAGAGTCATAATTTAAAAAGTCACATTTTCAACAAAAATTTATAAAATAAGCTAAACTCTTCTTGGGATCACACAACATATTTTGCATACAAACTTTGTACAGGTCATTGCAACGTTAATAAAGGGCAGCAAGCTGTTATGCTATAAATGAATGCATCAATAATTTAACAATAATGTCTACAGAGTCAAGTCTGTATTCTCCATGTTTACAAAAGCACTCTCAGCTAAATTGGTTAAGACACTTAATTTACAATTAGAGCCAAAAGAGATCTCCAGTCAGGATAGACATCGTCTGTAAATGTATGTTATATTAGGCTATGTTTACTTGGCAGTTTCTTTTAATTAACAAGGGCTGCAGATGTACCTGTATTAAATATATCAATTAGATTTCAGCCAGAATTGAAATTGACAGTATATGATTAAGTGGGAGCTTTCTCTGTTGCCTCTAACTACACATTATGCACTGGCTACCTGTGTCTACAAGCAGGTGTTGAAATAGATGTTGGAGCTACAGAGAATAAAAACATATGGAGCATTACTTTGTCAAAACACACCATTGACAGGACATCTGAACTGTAAAGGGTTGATTTACTAAAGGCAAAAAGGCTGCTCACTTTGTAAGGGAATTTGGACTTTGCAGGGGAGGATTCCCTGTGCGTAGGGAATTTGGTAAAGATCTGATAACTTCCATCACCCAATCATGTGCAAGACATTTTTTTTTTCCTTGCACATGATTAGGTGTTCTTTGTGAAGTGAAACCAAGCTAAGGGAAACTTTTCCTGCAAAGTGCAAATTCCCTTGGAAAGTGAACAGCCTATTTGCCTTTAGTAAATCAAGCCCTATACAAAACTGAACTTTTGGCTCTGACTGAAGTCCTCCTTTACAAAGGAGGATGGGTGGTGGCCCACCAACATAAATACTTTTAGAGTGAAAATATAAAATTCACATAAAAATATTTATAAGACAAGCTACATATCCAGTGCATACAATACATAATACAAACCTAAAAACATTCTATAAATCATGTTACAAATGCATAAAGATTTAGTCTACTTAGTAGCGATGTGGGTGGGCACTGAAGTTATAAATCACCACTGGCTTATTTCTTAAGAATGTCCCTAATGCATTCTTAAAATAAAGTAAACCTCAAAAATGAACAGTAAAAAAAAAAACATACCCTTTGAAAGATCATGGCATGTGAACTGATTTGGAATCTGTGCAGAGACCCCACATAATCTTCTCAAATTTAAATTGTCACACTTCTTTCCTTTACGGTAGAACAAATAGTTAAATACACAGTTGAAACACACATACTGTATGCTAGTTTTACCTGTCAATTAATTAATTTATATACCATACTGCATAGCCAGATGATTACTAATTCCAGGTTTACAGCCTTCTTAATCACCATAATAATTAGTCAGAAGTGATTATTGTGACTCATTGTCCAATGAACAAGCTGGATGGGCGATGTGACACCCCCCTGGCTGTACTGAATTATATATCTTTTGGCAGGTAAAACAGTATATGTAATAAACATTTGTATGTATCTGTTTGCCTAGAGTTCTTCTCCATGGTGAAGTTATAGGTTCTGAACAAATGCATGAAATCATAATATAAATATGTTTATGAATACATTTTAGCATTCTTATCCAAAATTACCCAAAATGCCCCTTAATATAGTTGAACTATATTAACATGCTGTTGATTTTCCTTAATAGCGTAACAAGCAGCAACTGTTTTGGACGTTTGGTTTGTTGTTAATACCTAAGAACAGAATGTGAAGATATTTGAAGAACATAACTGTAAATCAGTTATCCTTGTCTATTCATTTAATGTTCTGTGGTTGATGCTTTTAACATTCTACTGGTCCTTAAAAAGAGAAGATAAAAGCTGCTATCGCTTTTAATAAAGTTTCAAAAGGTAAATCTAAAGCAGACCACATTGTAATTTATTGTACAGTCACATTAGCATTCTGGACTGAAGATCCATCTGTAATAATTTAAGGTAAGCAATTTTCCTTACAGATACATACTGCTGATCCAAAAGCCTTGAATATTTATGTGACAAATTACATAAAAATTCAGAGTTGTTCACCATGGAACCAAACAGATCGTCCCTTCCATTTCACTTATGGAGATTGTTGCTTTGATATCACCTACTATTTTTATAATGAGTTTAAATCATAGCCTCTGAAGTGAGACAAAAAGCATAAATCAGGTATAACAAGAAATGTATGTCCATATATTATGATGTATCTATTGATACCACTCTAATATTCTAAACCAATATGATGTTTCTGTCTCCTTAGTTTGGTGTTTAAATAGAAAGCTCAATTTCCCTTGCATGTCAATTATTCATAGATGCGATATATGGTAAATAAAATGGAAAGCTTCTATTAAAAAATCTTTTATTTAAGTAAAATGATTATGATTCAGACCAAAATCTTCATGGCAATGTGCATGACTCTCTGGTTAGTTCCCCATATAAAATAAAGCTCTGATTACAGAATAAAACAATAATTGCCTAATTTTTTGTAATAAAGATCCATAACATACTTTAGGTATATATATATATATACATATATATATATATATATAAAAAAAAACTTAAATCTAAGTATGTTTGGTATCATGCATACATCAATGCAACACAGCGTTCAGCCTTGTTGCAGGCTGGCAATGCTAAGCCACTGCTTTGCAACTCACAGCAACGACGTTAAACTGCTGTGCAAATTCCTTTAGTTGGCCATTGAGCTGCCTGTCTGACAGATCTGATAGGCAGCCCAATGGCCAAATACGCTGCTGCTAATTGCATGGCAGTGGCTTAGCAATGTCAGCCTGCAACAGGAATTTCTGTTACTGGCAGGATCTCCAGGTAAGAAAGTTTACAACATACAAACAAAAAATAATTTGTTTAAATCTGAACTCCAGCTTTAAAAATGTATATATACTTACACTAGTACAGCTTGGCACAATGTAAGTATATATAAATGAACCCAGACAGGGCCACGGAGATCATGTAATACACTGTAGTAGCTGCAGCTACTACAGTTTATTACAGTGTCTTCTGGGTAAAGGAACAGACGCCATTTAGAGGATGCCTAGTATTTTTCTCAATGAATAGGTGTTTTCTATTAAACGAGGGGTGGTGCCATGATGCCACTACCCATTATCCAATCAGAGAATGCCTAGTATTCCTTGAGAAAAGTACTAGGTGTCCTTTGAATATTCAGCTTTAAGAAAAATGTATACAGTGAGTCATGATGCCAAACATAAAAAATACATTTAGGGTTAACAGAAACTTTAATTCTAAAAGTATTTTATTCTCGAATAGTGAGACAAGTAAACCTGTAATGTGTGTTCAGATGAATATTATTCTTTAAGAGAATCTGTAAGATTTCCAGTAATACAGAGAGTGTTGCTCAAAGGTAAAAGATAGAGTCCTAAAATTGTAGAATTTCTTATGGAAGTGCACCGGTGGTTTAGGTACTACTTCTGGTCTGAAGACAATCTAATTGTTCTGCATGGAAACACCCGACATGTGTGTATGAGAAAAGCACACAGCTTGCATATGGTTTGTTTGGTCAAAAGGCATATTACATACATTTGTTTTGCAACACACTGCTGATTTTTCATACAGATATTTTTTAATCTCTTCTACAATTACTGGAGAAAATTTACAAAATGCCCAGATTTAATTTTTTTTTACAGGTATGTAACATGCAAAACAAAACCTTTGGTCATGTTAAATTTAATAGAAGAAATGTTAGTTTCCTTTTACATAAAAGGTAAGAGCAGTCGCCACCCACTTTAAACTACTACTACTCAGAAGAGAACAGCAGATAAAAGGTTTTGTGTCTCACCAAGACACTTCGTCTTTTGTAAAGATGTAAAATGTTGGCAGCCATGGTACCAGTTTATTCACAGCACTGAAGTACAAAAAAGAAAACGGTTTACTTCGAAAGATACCCCAACGCATTACCTGTCTACCAATACAAGTGTTTCATAAATTAAGGACGAAGAGGATAGTCAGCAGAGCGCAAATAAACAAAACAATGTTTTTTCATTACAGAGTCTATGCAAGATCTGGCGCATGTAAGGAGGATTTGTCAGAGAAAGCTGTGAACTGTCTTTCATAAAAGTCACTGAAGTTTACAGGAAAGTAATCCTGTAATGATTAGTTTTATAAGAAATTCTATTGCACAATATAACATCATTTTATTTTTCACTGTGTTTTGTAGTTATGTAGCGCAAGACAGTCTCCAAGGCATCCTGGCACTTACTGCCAATGGTGAGCAACAGTTGTTTAGAACAGTGTCTTTGAAGTTGTGTGCTTGAAGACAAATTGGTTTCTTCAGGCTAGGAAATATAACCATCCCTGTAGTAAAACATGGCAGAAGATACTTATGATTATTAAAAGGGAGGAGAAACAGCCTTTAGCTGCATGAGGGAAGACAAACTTGTATACATGAAGGCCTCCAGTGATTTCTTTTTCTTGACAAAATCCCTCTTATGATCAGACTGCAGACAAGTCAATTCGGTTGGCAGAATTGCTGCTTTTGTCCCACGTATTCATCTTGGTTGGAGATGTATTGGCTCTGTTCCCATTCATCTAGAAGGCAAAGAAAGCTGTCCATGTCACATAAGATGCCAATTTTTTCCCCTCAGAAGAGAAACCTTTTACATTTTAGCATCATATATGGAATAATGGATGAACAATATATTGATGGTGGTAGCTTGTTACTGAGCATTGCTGTTTATACTATAATCAGCACAGTGACTAACGATTCAAAGTTGATTTATGTGGTTATACATAAAAACAAGTCAACAAAAAAAGATAATTCCACAGAAAACTGAATCTTCATTGCTGCCTGGAATTTGGGGTATACTGTATGAGCATCAGGTCCTGTTTTTTTCACAGCATTTGCTTACCTGAAACTCATGTACTCATATTGCCACTATAGTTATTGGGTAGAGCTTGCCGCCAATCAAGGCAGTCAAGTTCACCATTCATTTTTGGAGCCCTCTGAGGGTAGAACATGAAGATTATTTTCAATAACTGTTGGGATGATGGAACAGCATAACAGCTCCAACCAAACAATCTCAGTACAACAACCTCAGAGGAAAGTAAGATACTATTTTTGTAGATATAGAGATCTATCTATATCAAACATAAACCAGTAAGTATTACAGTTACGTGCAAAAATATCTTTAATTCTATTTACAAAAAAAACAAAACAAGCTGAAAAACACTTAAATGAAAACAAGTTATGTATGGATGAGCGCACTAGGTCTTTAGGGAGAGGACATAGGATGAAGGTTAACAATAAGTGGTGATTGTGAATGATCCCTTCTGCGGTGTGCTTCTTTCTTGATTACAGGTAGAGGTATCCTGTTTTGAAACAAGAAAGAAAAGAAAGCGTCACAACCAAGAACAATAAACAACGTGGAACCAGGGAGAAACGTAAAAAAAATTAAGTTGCATTCACATTAACACAAAGTAGCTGTCAGCAGGGGAACAATGTATCCAAAGCCAGCAACAACAATATGCTTCATTTGGAGCTGTATAAAACCAGTTCTTAAGAGATGCTGATCTGGTCAGTGGGGACAGAAGAACTAAAGGTGAGAAATGGCCAGCCTCTGACCATGTAGGTCAATTAAAACATTTATTATATAAATGAATAAAATGCACTCACATTGGAAGGAGTATAGAGACGTCTTTGTCAGTTCATTATTAAAGGCAAACTGTGTAAGTCTCCAGAAGTGAAGTAGCCCCAACAGTGTCTCTGATGGTGAGAGAGCCGGTAAACTAAACACTGCACTGTCACTGGAAAGCAGCAGCTGCAGCCGTTGAAGAGCCAGGCAGGAGCGGATCCTCTAGCTGGAAAAAAATTGACACAGGAGCCGGGAAGTACAAATTGCAGGCAATGCGTTTCAAGGCAGAGCGCCTCTTTCTCAAACCAGGGGAGGCTTCTGTGTCAATTTTTTTCCAGCTAGAGGATCCGCTCCTGCCCGGCTCTGTAATGGCTGCATTTGCTGCTTTCCAGTGACAGCGCAGTGCTTAGTTTACCGGCTCTCTCACCATCAGAGACACTGCTGGGGCTACTTCATTCCTGGAGACCTACACAGCCTGCCTTTAATAATGGACTGACAAAGATTTCCTAATACTCCTTCCAATGCCAGTGCATTTCATTCATTCATTTACTAAACGTTTTAATTGACCTACAAGATCAGAGGCTGGTGGTTTCTCTCCCTTGGTTCTTCTGTCTCCACTTACCAGATCAGCGTCCCTCCAGAATGGGTTTGATAAGCTCCAAATGAAGCATAGTGTTGTTGAGGGCTTTGGATACATTGTTTCCCTTCTGACAGCTACTTTGTTTTAATGTGAGTGTAACTTAGTTTCTTACAATTTTCCCTGGTTCCACGTCGTTTATTGTGCTAGGTTGGGGCACTTTATTTTTATTTTTTAAAAACACTTAAACCCACTTATGAATATTTTTAACAAAACAGCACTTTGTATGTACACAACCATTTTGTATAACCATACTTTTTTTTATATTCATTTATACATTTTTTCAAATAAATTGTCTCTAACAAGATGCTTAACAAGATGGCTAGGTCACCCCTGGCGCCATATAACAGGTACATATAATCTACTTGGTACATATTTGGCAAAAACAGAAGTATGTAGGAGATCAATTAAGTGCGCAACATGTATATTTTTCAAAATAATGAATCTTCCAGTTCCTGATGTAAAAAGCTTCAATAAACCTCTTTGCTGCATACAGAGTCACAATTTTTTTTCCAACATAATGTCCAAAGCAATATTTCAGCATAACAGTTTTATGGATTAATATTATGATCCAGTATTGTTGTATATCATTATGACCCTCTTGTGGCCTCAATAATAACTAAGTGCTTGCTGCACCACATGAATATAGTTGTATGTCTCTCACATTGCAACCAATATAAATGTTGCATCATTACTTAAGTTGTTAATCCACAATCTTCACAATGGGTGCATAACTAGTTGGTATAAAGTGTGTCTGGTGCATTATATAGAGATTAAATCCTTGTACTGCTAAGTACCTTATTGATACTAGGAACTGTATAAATTCCAATAGTGATTCAAGGATATTGGGTGGTTACACATTCATCTTTACTTATGGTTTTATTTCAGTGATGGGTCTAAATATGTACCATGTAGATTTATGACAAGTTCCTGTTATCTGGTGCCAGGGGTGACCTAGTCATATTAGTAACCTCCTTGTTACAGGTGAACTTGAAAAGTCGTATAAATCTATATGGGAAAATTAAGGTTGTACAGAATGATTTGAGTTCTATACAAAGTGCAGTGCTGGAAAGAATATTAGAATTAAAGATATTTTGCACATATTTATAATACATTTTGGATAATATTATTTGATAGACGCATCTCCATTTTTGGGATTTATTCATTTAATTTGCAAATATTTGTTTGAAGGTAAATTAAAAATAATGGAAAATCTATATATACTGTTGAAGGAATAGACAAGTCAAGCACCTTTCTTTAAAAGAGTTGTCGTACACCAACTATATAGTTAGTGCGTGTTGGGGAGAGCCAACAATTCTGTAAAGGGAGAGTCTTTATTTATTTGTTATTTATTTTGTTAGTTTTCTCATTGGTACATGCTCCCATGGTGGTACATGGCCTCCAATGCATTTAATTCTCAAATGATGAGAATTAAAAAACAAGATTTGCCCCCTATAGACAGTAATAGGGATTCACTAACTAAACCCATGCAGATTTGTTTATCCCTATATGGAAGGAGCATCAATGGAAACATGTACATTTTAGGACACTAATCAAGTAATTAGGATTCGATAGACATTTGTAGTTGTGTAGAAAAATAAACACAGATAATATCTATTTAAAAAAATGTGTTAAAAGAATAACATTGTGTTTAGTCACAGCAAAGTACTGCATTTCTGTTTCTATCAGCATGATAATCATAATCCTAAATATTTTACTTTCCATGTTGCTAGCAATTAATTGAGTTACATTTAACATGTATCATGTTCATCTTGTGTGATTTTTTTTAAAGAGAGTGCACTGTTTTCAGTATCCTGAACTCAGTGGACTAGTTCTAGCTTGGGGGAAGTACAGTATGTTTTCAGCAAAACAAATGTTATTTGTTATTTTTGTAAATGTTGCTTTCATTTCGTTTGGAGTAGAGTTCATTTTATGGTGTTATATAATCACTTCACTTTGTAATTGCTTTTATACAGGTACAATAGTGGAAAGAATGGTTGACCAACATGACAAGACAGCTACCACTGTGCCCTACAAGATCCAATAGCTGTACTTACTACATCAGAGTTGAAAGGCTTCACATTGATGTTGCGAATGGAGCTACTAGTAAGCGACCACACCTTTGTCTTGTGTTTGAAAGCAGCTCTCACCTTGAAAAGAAATGGCACAGTAAACAATGGTAAGCCTGTATAACAGTACTTTTCATTGCCATCAACCTCCACTCCCAGACCTTGTCTACCCAACATTTGAATTGCTGCTGTTATGAAACCGCTGCCATGTAATCTCCCAGTGTAAACAATTGCTTACACCAAGGCTGTTAACATGTTTTTGCCTTTTAGCTAGTCACCCAAAAGTGATCCATAGTCCATCCAAATCCATAATTATAGACAATGTCTATTTTAAAGGAAAGTATAGTGTGTTCAGACAGAACAGGTTTTCAGTTATGATTGTTGTGTTTTCCTTAACCTCTTTATGACCAGAGGCTATTGATATGTGGATATCCAACCAGTATGCTTGAGGTCTCAATATTCCTCAGTTAGATTGACATTGACAATAACTTTTATAAATTTGCCAACTTTATGACAAATAATTTTTTGTTTTTAACCCCTTGAGTCCCTGGTGTTGTTGTATAATGCCATCAGGACTGAGAGCAACAGGTCCAGGCAACCATGCTGATTGGAAACACCAGCTATCAGTTACAGCCAGTGTCTACCAGCACTAAGCTAACATGATCAGACCCTAAATTCTGATTCTGATACAGACTGCCGCATATGAGCATTCTGTAGCAGAGAATTTAAACACATGTGACATTATGGCACCCTATGTAACTATGAAGGCCAGGACAGAGATGATCCTGCTTTGTCTTGCCTACCTCTGCAGCTACCACTGATGAAGTGATTCTTGCTGGTTGAATGCAGTCTCCACTGACAGATGAGCAAAAAAACACACCAAAAAACAAATTAAAACTGTACTGTCTTCTTAAAAAACATAGGGGTTTATTCACGAAGCTGCCGAAGGATCTGGCCTTAGCTTCGGCCGATCCTTCGGCTAGCTTCGGCCCCAGGACCCCTTTGGTTCAGTAGAACCGAAGGGGTGCTGTACGTGCTATTCACAATAGCCTGTACAGCTCCCGATCATGGCCAAGCGGCTCAGCGGAGCCGAACGCATATGCATCGTCTCGGCTGAGCCGTGCTGAAAGCCGAAGCTGGCCGAGCGGCCGGCCACTGGCCGGCCGACAGCCTGCTTCCGACAGCTGGGCGGAGCCAAGGAGAGAAACACTGCTGTGTCTTTTTTTTCTTCTTTATTCTGACACGAGCGATGTCAGAACGGCTCACTTCACTTGAGATCGGTCATTCACTCGGCTGCTCTCGGCAGCTTAGTGAATAGACCCCATAGTTTCTTTCTCTGTGCACAGCAAGTGTACAACGACAGAGATACACTGACAGCTGCTGTATGTAAGGTTTGTTTGCAAACAAGCTTTATGTGATCACCATGTCATAGCTGATATAGTAATCACATGATCAGGAACCATGCTGATTGGTTCTCGATCACTGGGAGAGACAGACTAGAATGTGTTTAGAAACATTAATTTGCAGATTGCAGTTTTGAACCAGTTAAAGAAGTTTCTGAAATGTCTTTTATATGTTCAACTGTTTGCTCTGCCATCTTTTGATTATTGTATTATATTTAATATTAGTAGATTAGTCACTACAGGGTTATTCATTAAAGGGTGAAAGGTTTGGAGAAGGCAGGAGAATTGAACAATCTAGGTCAAAATAGCTGATTTTGAAAAATTCTCCAATTCAGCTCCTTTTCCAGTTCAACTATTTTAGCCTAGATTGGTCACTTCTGCCTTCTCCAAACTCTCCCCCCTTTTGTGAATAACCCTATTAATTTGCAGACACACTGGGGTTGATTTACTAACCTTATAAACACACCACGAACATGTATACACCTCTGTAGTGTGTTCCCTCCCAGCATGATCTATGGGTGGAATCTAAACACCTTTGTAGTGTGTACACACCCAGCAGGTGTGTTGTGCAAAGCCGTGCATGAATTTGCAAGGTGATGTTGTGTAAATTAGCTCTATGTTGTGTTGCTTGCGTTGATGAATGCAGGAATGTAAATGCATGAGCTAACCATTTTTGTCTAAACTGTGAAGCAGCATTATATATGCATCATGTGCATGATTTTTCCATATATGGCATTAGTGGAAATATGGTTTTAGAGACTTTTTGGTTGATAAATACGTTTTGCTGTGTAAAAATCACACACACCTAGTGCGTGCGTGTCTTTAGGTTAGTAAATCACCCCCACTGTCTCCATTCTTAACAGCTGTTGAGATAAGATTTCAGCCATAGAGAGTACATAGCTTTCAATAAGTTGACCAACTCTAACATTGTCTGACCAAGTCTAACATTGAGAGAAAATGCAGTAATGCGCCAACGTTGTGTAGCACTGCAGCTCAGGAAGTAGAACACGCATATGTAACAACCAAATCTGTTGCACATATAATTACAAACTATACACAGAAATTATTTTTTTTAACATATTAACTAACAAGCTTTATCTTTTTTTTCATATATATTGTATATAACAACAATTAAAAAAAAAACATCCATTCCCTTTAACCACTTGCTGACCAGAGCAATTAATTGATATTTGCACACACATGATAAAATCTGAATTTCATCATGGTGGACAGCGGAGACCGGGAAAGCCGACAGCGGAGGCGGAGGGGGGTCGGGCACACAGCCGTTGGATTGCTTGTATTTACACAGCAATCGCCTGCTGTTTAAAATGATACCAAAAACACGGCTGCAGAAGGACAGGACGTATTTTTATGGCGGTCCTGAAGCAGTTAAAGGCATATTTCACCCTTTGCAAAAAAAATTATAATAATAAAAGCACCCACAGTAATACAATAAAAACATGTGCATTTATTATTTTTTTTTGCATTGGAGCCTGCAAACGCTTTGAAACTGCGATCAGTGGATCATGGATGCAATACAAAGATTCCTGCAGACTACTCTGCCAGCCACTAGTCAATATGGAGATACAGACCTTTGGTTCTGGGTCTGGAGAAAGTAATCAGTGGCTCACTGAGGTCTACATGTCCCTCTGCCACAGTAGTTTTTCATTCACAGATCTGTGTGAATGCATTTGTGAATGGATGATGTGGCTGTGCAGGCTTCACCAAATTAAAAAAATATACTATACTATATATACAGTAAAAGATGCTGCAGGAACACAATGATTCAGGTAAGAGGGAGGTTGGTTTGAGGGTGGGGTGCTGCAGGCTATGACCATGTTTCACAGTACACCCTATATATGAGTGTAACATGAAACATGGTCAGAGAGGTGGAATTATCCTTTAAGTGAGCAGTTCACATAAAAATATCTGTTCATGCAAACTCTTCATATTATTAGCCAGGCATTTGTTAAAGAGGTGTAATAAAAAACAACAGTGAAAAAAGCAAAAGGCTTTGATAATCCAGGTAAGTAAATATGTAGCAGCACACTTCCTTGAGGCAATACTCTGAAACAGAAAAAGTACACCACCAAATGGGTACCAATCAGGATAGCTTTTAGATGTCTCAACAAAGGCTCAAATCCAATACTGGCAGCTGTGATCGGCCAGCTCCTGGGAATGGTGCTATTCTTAGGGCAGGTCAGCCTGCCTTTGTAATGCTGCAGACATGTGCTGAGCCCCAGAGATAGCTCTGTTTTTATCAGCCAAGCAATTGTAGCCTCTGGCACTAGGTATGAGCACTGGCAGTGAAATATAACAGCTTCCCTGACAAGTTCTTTAATAACCAACTTGTCTCTAAAATTAGTTTTACAATGCTGTCAATTGGGCCAGTTTTTTGTTTTTGTTTGAATTATTAAAATAAACACATTAATTTAGTGCGCTTATTTTGAAAATATGTGACATTACTTACACAGACGGTATCCAATTAGAAGTCTGTAATTGTTACTATTCTCAAAATATAAAAATTATCAGAGCCACTATGTCAGGGTTGGGCAACTCCGGCCATCAAGCTCTTGTGGAACTACAAGTCCCATAAGGCATTGTAAGACTGACAGTTACAGGCATGACTCCCAGAGGCATGTTGGGAATTGTAGTTAAAGCACAGCTGGAGGGCTGGTGTTGTTTTTTTATTCTTTAAAGGGATGGAGATTCTTGGAGGAAACATTGCTACTTTGCCTATATTTGAAGTGAATTTGAGTGCATTTGTTCATCTAAACTAATTACCAGTGAACCCCCCAGTTCTGTTATTTAGCCACCCCCATGATGTCCTCCTGCCATGCAGTCCTATACGCTATGACATTTCCTGCCCTATTTATATTAGCTTTATTCTTAAACTTTTCCTAAGCACAATTTCAAGTCTAAAAGGATGCAGAATGTTTGGAAATCAAAAGCAAGCCTTAGCTAGCCTAAGCAAAACCAGAGTAATTCTGTGATTTACAGATCCACAGGGATAAGTCTAGCTGAGCAAGTTTTGGGCCAGTAACTGTCAGGCAAATTCTGAATAACTTGCCCATGAGCATGCTCACTTGGTTCATTTTTCTTACATGGTTTATTCTTTGTACACATGACAGGTTATTGAACTACCTTCCCCAAACAGACTGCTAAATGGGAGCATCTCTCAATACAAGCAAAAAAGGAGTACCAGACCAAATTCATACAGGAGTCCAAAACAGCTATAAAGAAGAACTCCTGGCAAAAATGTTATTAACCCTTGTAATGGGGCTACCCTTGCACTGATTAACTGCTCGTGTTTGCCCAGGGTAAAAAAAAAAAGTTATACTCAGCTGATCCTGTGAGCCGGCTGGCTCTTAGACTGGTCCCTGGAGCGTCTCTCCCCTTCTGCTGCAGTGCTCTAGGAATCCTTGCGTTATCACATCTAATACATGTAACACGTGTACAGAATGTGAGAATGCAGAGGGACATCACTGCAGCGAAAGAGGGGACAGGCTGCAGGGAGCACTGCCGGCTCAGAGGATCAGGTGACTATTACTTTTTTTTAGGCAGAAACTAGCACTGGTAGCCCCACTGCAAGGGTTAATAACATTTCTGCCTTAGGTTCTTCTTTAATCATTTATAAAACAACAGCCAACATGTTTTGGGGGGGAAAACTCACTCCCC